ATTAAAGCTTGTCTTAACTGACTAGCTAAACTGTGACTTAGAATATGTGCTATTTACCCTATAATTAGGACACTGACTTACTAGAACAAAAATGTTACTAGCTTTTTATTCTCATAAGGGGCTTTACAGTTGCAAAAATATAATCAGAGTCATAAAGAAGAAATTACTAATTTTGGCACAGAGGATAGAAAATTGAAGTTTTATAATATCGAAAAGCACAAGGGAGTGTGAAATGATGGAATAAATCTATTTAAAAAAATAAAGAATTAACTTCTTAGGGGTTTTGCTCCCAAAAATCAAAAGCTTGTTGCATAACTGAAAGTGATTTTAGCAAGAATATTAGATTTTCTGTTCAATAAAATAGCCTAAATATTTTAAGAATAATGAATATGCAAACTAGATTATACTAGACCCTTTTAATATTTCACAGTAATATATACCACTTATATTCCTTTTTACATTCTTTTCATTTTCATAAATCTCTCTGACCTTTGCTAACCCTAATTTAAGCTCCTGATCCCTAATATCTGGGGTAGATTCAAGGTCAAAATACATTTCATGTCATGCCTAATGCAACAGAGTGACATATATCTGAAGAAACAAATCACTTCAAGATTTAAGTTAGCAAATACTTTTTTACATGTATACTCATTTAGATACAGAAACTAAAATATTGAGTCATAAAGTCAGTGTAGTTTAAATTAGGGGCTAATTTTCTCACCTGAGATAAAGTAATTCTAGTATGTTTCTCTATATAGTAGCAGTTTTTCAATTATAGTCAAATTTTAAAACAGTCATTTTTAATATATGATATACCACAAATCACCTTACAAATTTTACTTTGTTGCTATTTCCAAAATATGTCATTTCTAATAAAATGTATCATAACTATAAACTCAATAAGAAATTTGTACACAGTGTCTGATCATTTTCATTTACAAATTAAACATTTGTGCTCCCTTCCAATTTTTGGTAACAAGTCAAATAAGTTAAAACCTCTAAAAACATATCTCAAGCTATTTTAACCAAACAAACTTTAGACTTAGTGGATTACATAATTATGTTATATGTAATATTTAAGTGGAAAACATATAAATATATATAAATTGATACTTTAATATTTTATATGGTTATTTAGTAGAATAACTGATTTTTGAAGTAATTTATTCAAATAGGATAACCATTAATATAACAGTATATATAGCATTGTGGCTAAGGGTGTGGCCTCTAGACCCAGACTGCCTCAGTGAAATTTTAATGTTAGCACCTGCCTACCAGCAAGACTTTGAATACATTATTCACATCTCTGTGCCTCAGTGTCCTCACTGGGGAACATAATAGTGAGTGCCTGATTGGGTTACATGAGGCTCAGTTGAATTGATAAAGAATTTACACCCGTACCTGCAACATCATAAGTACTAGCTTTTACTGGCAAAATCTGAAGAGCAAAGGCATCCTAACTTTTTATCGTGAAAATGTTATAGTGTATATTTCTTTATTTTTTCCCATCTTTTATTATTCCTTTTTATTTTCTTCCAAATTGTATTAGACATTTTTGTTTTATATTCTAATTCTTGGCATACTTCAGCACTAATCTGATATTGGAATATCATTTTTCTGTAGGCTTTCTCCTTTTATCCATATAATTCTCTGTGACAGCACACTAAAAGCTTCTCATTCTGGGGGTGAAGCTGAGCAGAATGTGGAGGACAAGATCTTTCAAAAACACTGCAGTTTACTTTCACCTGTGACACCCTTCCACCACTTTACTAGTATGAATCTTTAATTTGCAATGTATGTACTGAACCATAGGTCCTTTAAACAAGTGTTTGAGAGGTCTGTGAATAGTACAGTAGAAACAAGCAGAGCTACTGATACTCTCACGTCTCATTTTGGTTTGTCTTCCTTATCTGTATGAAAGGGGACCATAAAGAGAGGTTGAATTAGTTTCAATACAGCCCTAAGCATTTTCTATGGTGTTTTTTGAATTACTGCTCAACAGTTCAGTACAGTTAAAATAAATAAGCAAATTAAATGTGAGAGAATGAACTTGGCAACACCTTAGATTATAATTCTGATTTTAACAAATTCCATTGTATTAATGCACATAATATTGATGCTGCGTTGTAAACATTTAGGCCCGTAAAATTATTGAAGGACTGTAGAATGACAGAGAATCACAGAATAAACTTAAAGTTAGAAAACATTTAATGCTTCCTGCCTCAAGTGAGATGCTAGACTTGAGGCCAAATCTTACTTGAGGCAGGAATACTTTTCTACAGCATCTAACCTTTGTTCTACATTTCCAGCTTGAGGAAATTCACTACTTCACTGTGTTGGAGAGCTCTAGATCTTAAACGTTCCTTTATATTAAGCTAAAGTTTATCGTCTGTCCTTTCCATAAATTCCTAAATGCTGTCATGACAGTCCTTCGGGCATTAGAAGACAGCTAGCCTTAATCCATCTTTACTCTATTCTTCAACTGCTTCTCCTTTCTAGGTTCAAAATCCTCAGCTCCTGTCACTACTTCTCAAATGGTATTGTGCCCAGGCATCTCACTTCTGGATGGTCACTAATTTGTAAACTTTTCTTTGAGGTCAGGAGATCAAGGCCATCCTGGCTAACATGGTGAAACCCCGTCTCTACCAAAAATACAAAAAAAAAAAAAAAAAAAATAGCCGGGTGTGGTGGCAGGTGCCTGTAATGCCAGCTACTCGGGAGGCTGAGGCAGGAGAATGGCATGAACCCGGGAGGCGGAGCTTGCAGTGAGCCAAGATGGCGCCACTGCACTCCAACCTGGGCGACAGAGCGAGACTCCGTCCCAAAAAAAAAAAAGAAAAAAAAATCAATCTTCTCGCGCCTGTAATCCCACCACTTTGGAGGCCAAGGTGGGCAGATCACTTAAGATCAGGAGTTCGAGACCAGCCTGGCCAACATGGTGAAATCCCATCTCTACTAAAAATACAAAAATGAGCCAGGTGCGGTGGTGGGAACCTCTAATCTCAGCTACCTGGGAGTCTGAGGCAGGAGAGTCGCTTGAACCTGGGAGATCGAAGTTGCAGTGAGCCAAGATCGTGTCACTGCACTCCAGCCTGGGTGACAGAGTGAGAACCCATCTCGAAAAAAAAAAAAGAAATCGAGCTTCATTTGTGCATCAGTGAATCAAATATTAATCATGCAGTGTCATCCATATTACTTAGTGCTGTAACAGGTGTAGACCTGTTGCAATAGACAACAGAAGTGAACAAAGTATTTTGAAATCAGTGTTCTGAGGGTGTACTGACAGGATATTAAGTGTAAGACAGAGCTGGAAGGAAGAAAAAAAGCCAGCTGAAGGTGACTGGAGAAAGCAAAGTATATAGTGATAAGGATCTGGACTCCATAGCAATGGAAAAGGAGTGGAGTGAATAATTATATGAGATGTTTCAAAGGAAAAGCAACAGGATTTAGAAAACCGAGTAAATGCTATGTGTAAAGGTAGAATGATTCAAAGCATACTTCATGCTTGGAAGCATGAGTGACTGATAAAAATGTTAGTACTATTGTCAGAGATTGTGGGATAAAGAACGAATTTGCAAGCAAAAGAGAAAATGGTGAGTTTGCTTGCATTTGGGGCAAAATGCAGACATCTGTTTAGAAATCTTCCTTCGAAATTTAGAGATATGGGACTAGAGGTTTATGTAGCTGGGATTTATCTGAGAAACCATCAGATTCAAGACAATAATTATAGTCCAAGAACTGATGATTAGTCTGATGGACAGACTGACGAGAAATGTAACAAAAGACCTGGGACTAAGCTTTGAGGAGATATGGCACAGTTCATGCCAGAAAGCTTGGAGGAAGTATAAAAGAAGCAGATCTTTAATGCAAGTCACATGTAGAAGACATTAGTAAGCTTATATATTTAATATTCTGGAAATGTTGACTAGATGAGTAGTAATAGTGACTAGGAAATTCAGTCTGAGTTTTTAAAAACTTGTTTTGTTGGGCTCAAATTCTAAAATTCTACATTTGTTTTTATCCTTAGAGTTTCTGAAGACCACAGCATGTTGAAAAAAAGAAAATGTACTCATTTTTGGTGGTCACAACCATATATTCTTTTTAAAAGTAAATATTAATTTAGTAAGATTAAGAATTAGAAACAACTCATTGTAAGAAAATGTGGACTTACGTTTTTGTTTTAATACTGTAGTCACTAAAACGTGAAATTCATGAGACCCAAATATCCAGATGAAAAGAAACCAGCCATCTGAATGATTTTGTCTGTATAATGCTTACAATCTAGATAGACCCAGATGATTGGTAACATTCACAATTTTCTGTGAAATACTGAATTTTTTTGCTAATCAGGTTTTTTTAGAATTGTTTTTAATTTTGTGCTTAATTTTAATTATATGCTTATGATTGAGAGTACAAAATTCCAAAAGCATATGAAAATTAACATTTGCCAGTCACAAAAATTAACATTTGTGGCTCACATGTGTTATCCCAGCACTTTAGGAGACTGAGGTGAGAGGATTGTGTGAGTCCAGAAGTTCAAGACCAGCCTGGACAACATAGCAAGACTCTGTCTCTGCAAATAATTTAAAAATTAACTGGGCAGGTATGGTGGTGCACGCCTGTAGTCCCAGCTACTCAGGAGGTGGAGGCCAGAGGATGGCTTGAGCTCAGGAGTTTTAAGCTACAGTGAGCTATAATAGCACTACTGTACTCCAGCTGGGTGACAGAACCTGTCTCAAAAAAACAAACACACTCACACACACACAAAGAACATTTAAGTGTTTTAGGTGTTCTGGAATTTTAGGAGATCTCTCTTTGAATATTGTACTTCTTTATTTTTCTTCAAAAGTACCTCTTTGATTATATGTTTGTGTCTATCTATGTCGATATAGATATCCTTTCACTGTTCTGGGGGTGGGGGAGAGTTTATATGCCACTGTATAACATTCTCATCGAAATGATCTCCCTCAATGATTTTGTGTATATGTGTGTGTGTTCAGCCACAATTCCTTCCGAAGACACCTGCCGAGGCAAATGCAGGTTTCCAGTGTTGATTTTAGCATGGGCACGGAACCTGTTTTACAAAGAGGAGAAACAACAACCAGCATTGGGAGGATAAAGCCAGAACTCTACAAACAGAGATCAGTTGACTCTGAGGGCAACCAAAAAGAAGATGTCAAAACCTGTGGGAAACTTAACTTTACCCTCCAGTATGATTATGAAAATGAACTTCTAGTTGTTAAAATTATCAAAGCCTTAGATCTCCCTGCTAAAGACTTCACAGGAACTTCTGACCCTTATGTGAAGATGTATCTTCTTCCAGACAGGAAAAAGAAATTTCAGACCCGCGTGCACAGAAAGACTTTAAATCCTCTATTTGATGAAACTTTTCAATTTCCTGTAGCATACGATCAACTAAGCAACCGAAAACTACATTTCAGTGTATATGATTTTGACAGATTTTCTAGACATGATATGATTGGGGAAGTGATTCTTGATAATTTGTTTGAAGTCTCTGATCTCTCCAGGGAAGCCACAGTATGGAAAGATATTCATTGTGCTACCACAGTAAGTAGTAATTCCACCAATATATTGTTTTTTATTTGACTTACAATGATATATGACTAATTATTATCCAAATTATTGGGATAAGTCTTACAGAGTTATGGAATTTATGTCTAAGATCCTGCAAAGGTAGGATTTCATTTCTACTACTAATAATTCAGTCACCTAATGCTGAATATATTGGTAACCCTAGTGATTGTGTAAATAAAAAAACAACTCTTATAAATTAACAGAACTTGTAGACTATTTCTCCTTTAAAATATTTATCTGTAATATAAATATCCTATCTACAGCACCCAGTTTCCTCATAGTTAGTATTGGTTTTCATTATTTAAGATAATTTTGTTAATTTCATTATTTTAGAAATTATTTCACTCTTTAAGGATAATGACTTCATTATTTAAGATAATTCATCAAATCAAACCTAAAATGTACTTTGATGCTATTTGAAAAGTCCTTGGTTTGATATGAAACAACCCATTACTTCACAAGCTTTCATAGAATACACACAATTACAATATATGAAATGATCAATGATCAAGAAGTAATCAGTTTACATTAAAACTTTTTCGTTACAAAATGCTTTTTCTGATTATAAAATAATACCAACTTCAGTACTGAAAATTTTAAAAACAGAGTAAAAACACATAACATAAAATTAAAATAATCTACAGTGCTACCAATTATATATAATATTTTGGCATATTGCTTTCCAACTTTTTGCTATGCCTACTTTAGAATATTAAGACCATACTAAGCTTAATTTTTTTCACACCAATTTTCTTTCATTCTATATTCGTTTTAGCGCATGATGTTGAAATACATGATCCATTTACTTAACCATTTTCTTACTGTTAGACACTTAAGTTAGGCATAAATTTTGTTATATGAAAAATTGTGTTCTTTTTTTGTAAATCTGGTTTTTTCAAAATTATCCATCCGGTATAGAATTATAGAAGTGGAATTAGAGAAGTGATCTCTTAAGTTAGATTGCTTGCTTTAGTTTATTAGCTTTTAAATGGGGACATTTAATTTTTTATCATCAGGTTGTTTTTACATATTTACCATCTTTTGTTTGAGTTGTAATACATTTTATAAGTTTAAAGCGTTGAAGTTTTGAACAGAGACAAGGGATTATTTAAAACATAAGGATACTTTTGTATTCAAAATAGGTCCTTTTGTGTTTTTCCAGTTATGAATGTTTTACTAATTACAATCAGTATGTGGGATAATTATATTGTCGTTGTAAATTATGTGGATAAATTAATTTGAAATTTATGCTGCCAGTTCAATATTGTATTCCAGCATCATAACATTTTTAGTTGTTGAATTTTTGTGTCATAATCTCTATTGTGATATCTATTAGGGAACAAAGAAGGAATTTTGAAAGTGGATCATATTTCAAATGCACAGTGGGGCTCTTTTGATTTCACATTTGTGTTCATTTTATTACCTATATTCCCACAGGGAAAACATGATGAATACTGATTTTTATTGTTTTTAAAAATAACACCTTCTAGAATTCTACAAATGCAGATGGCAGTTAATTGTTAGATTATTTCTCTTGATTCCTCAGTCTTATTATTACTTTGTATTTATTCAACAAATATTTACTGAGTACCTATTTACGTTTGGCATGCTCTAAGTACTAGGGTTGCAACAAACACATTTTTTTATTAAAAAGTGAAGTATGTTCTGTACATATATTCAGGCTCAGAGGTATATAATCTGCCAATAAAATCTAAAAATTAGTATAATCGACTAGGAGATTGACAGCGAATTTTTGTTGTTGTTGTTGTTAACATTAATACGTTTTCCAAACTGGTTCTACTTAGAAAAAAGTAGGATTCCTTATGGAAACTTCAGTTTCTCATTGCCAATAATATTTATTCATTGTTTGTTAATATTAATAAATTACTTAAATTTATTTTCAACTTTCCCATATGGCTTGAATGTTAGTTTTTACTTCTGTTATAAAAATTACCACAAATTTATCTTACACAAACATTTTACAATTTGGTTAGAAATCTTTTATAATTTGGTTAGAAATACAGTTTGGTTAGAAATTACCACAAATTTAGTCTTACACAAACATTTTACAGTTTAGTTAGAAACCTCACATGGGACCAGGTGCAGTGGCTCATGCCTGTAATTCCCAACACCTTGGGAGGCTGAGGTGGGTGGATCACGAGGTCAAGAGTTCAAGACCAGCCTGGCCAGCATGGTGAAACTCCATCTCTACTAAAAATACAAAAAATTAGCCAGACATGGTGTCACATGCCTGTAATCCCTGCTACTCGGGAGACTGAAGCAGGAGAATTGCTTGAACCTGGGAGGCGGAGGTTACAGTGAGCCGAGATGGAGGCCACTACACTCCAGCATGGGCGACAGAGCAAGACTCTGTCTCAAAAAAAAATAAAAATAAGAATCTGACATGGATCTTACTAACTAAAATGAATGTGGTTGGCAGAGCTGCATTCTTTTCTGGAGGCTCTTGGGGAGACCCATTTTCTTGCTTTTTCCTGATTCTAGAGGCCACAGGCATTCATTGCCTTATATTGGGCCCCAGTGGATAATCTAGGAAAATCTCCCCATCTCAAAGTCCATAATCTTAATCACATCCACAAAGCCCCTTTTGCCATTTAAGTAACATTATTCACAGATTCCAGGAATTAGGGGATGCCCATCTTTGGGGCTACCTTTATTCCACCTGCCACCTCTGCAGACATTCTCATTTCAGAATTCTGAATATAAAAAGAAGTTGGCAGAAAATAAAACGTATTTTTAGATTATTCTAATAAAAGAGCATTCTCCTTTAACTAGAACATTGAACCACACATTGTTCGGAATATTGCTTCTGGATTTTTGTTTGAAAATATAGTAATGAAACCTGAATTTCTAGACTATGTGGCCAAATATTATGGTTAGGGTAGTATTTAATTAAAATTTCTGTTCAGCCTTTGAAAAATCATTAAGCAATGTTACATCTTCTTATTAGTAAAAATGAAAAAAAAAATGATGTAGGTGGAAATTTCGTTAAGAAACTTTCTTTTTCTATTCACACATCATTAATTTTTAAGAATTTCATGCAGAAATTATTGAGTCTTCTAGAAAAATGGAGGATAAGAGGAAAGACATAAAAAGCAATGTAGGATATGCTCTCACTTGTTTAAGTCTTGTGGAAACCTACAAAGGCAAATCAAACTGTGCAGACACAGATATAAAAGAGTTTACGTAACACATAAAATAAATACTGGATTAAAAGACTATTGGCTGGGCACGATGGCTCATGCCTGTAATCCCAGCACTCTGGGATGCCAAGGTGGGTGGATCACCTGAGGTCAGGATTTTGAGACCAGCCTGGCTAACATGGTGAGTGAAACCCCGTCTCTACTAAAAATAAAAAATTAGCTGGGCATGGTGGCACGCAGCTGTAGTCCCAGCTATTTGGGAGGCTGAGGCAGGAGAATCATTTGAACTGGGAGGGGGAGGGTACAGTGAACCAAGATGGCGCCACTGCATGCCACCCTGGGCAGCAGAGTGAATCTCTGTCTCAAACAAACAAAAAAACTATCAGATTAAAAGACAATGATGACAAATAGAAATATTCTTTTAATTCTTATAACTTTGTAATTGTAAGAACTCTTATAACTAAAGTTTTTATTTGAAATAATCATTTATGAGATTTTTAAAGAGTGCCTTTATATAATTGCAAATCTCCGATTTAATTTAAACCAAAATTTACTGGGGAAAAAAAAATACCATTTTGCTATCAGTTTGAAAAGCACTAGCTGGTTTATCTTTAGTTTTTTATGATTCTTAGAATCATTAAGACTTGCTTTATTATCATATTGTTGTAAATGCCATGGCTGTCTTTTTCCTTCTTCATGCTAATTATATAATTATATCTCATAATTGTTGCAGAGAAGACTCTGTGAAAATCAGACCTAGCGGCTTTTGTGATTGTTGTTTTTAAGGGTCTTAAGTGTCGCAGTCCCACAAATTTTCATCACAGAGTCTCTATCATGTTTTTTTGCACAGGTGCAAAGCCCTGTCCAAGGCCTTATCCAAAAAAATCTTCCTAGAACAGTTCATCCCCCAAAATTTTCTGTTCTACAGCATTTGATTCAAATAACTTTAATTTGATTAAATATTTACGGAGAACTTTCTATGAATGAAGTTTACATTTAGTTCTAAAACTGAAAGAAAGACTAGTAAAATACAAGTTTTACGCAAGGACTTTAACAAAGGAGACAAACAGCAAGGAAATAGAGTATATGCCTCAGTGTAAATTATTATATAACTGTTTCCTGATAGCCTCCACAAATGTGGTCTTGTCTACACACACACTTTTTGGTACTGACTGTATCCCATATGAAAATATTTCAGATTGCCTTTCCATGATGATAGATTTCTGAAGAAAAGAGTTGGGTGATTCTCAGAGAAAAAAACAGCATGAGAAAAAGGAAATAAACGGGACTGTAACATGTTTTCAGGGGGCAGAAAAGTAAAGTGTGAATATGAAATGAAGAGACTAAAGGGAACCCAAACTAGAATGTTATATTTTATCTATAATCAAGAGGACATTTAATGTCATAGGAGTTTCTATTTATTCTGTTTTTTATTAGAAGAGTGAAATCAGTGAAGCCATTACCTCATATGGCAACCCGTGTGTACAATGGATCAGAGTGGGAGATTGTGAAATGTGGTGCTCAGTAGGAATGTAACATCACAGACTAGATGAGATGAGCAAAGCCTGATTGAGGCTGGTAGCAACGAGAATGGAAAGAAGCTAATATATGCTAATGAAAGCATTGTCTGCTGCACTTATTTAAACATTCTGCAGATGTTTGTCTTATGTCTGCCACTAGTCTCTGAGCTTCTGGAAAGCAGAAATCATCTTGTATATCTCTTGCATCCCTTACATAATATGAGCGCTTAGTGGTTAATGAATAAATGCTTTTTGAATAAATAACCTAGCAAATTTTCATATGGGATTAAGT